TTATTTTATTTTATTTTATTTTATTTTACTTTATTTTATTTTATTGTATTTTATTATATTATATTATGTGCATTGCAGTGCCAGAAACAATTCAATTGTTGCTGCTAAGCCTGATCGCATCAAAAATGCTGTTGATGCTGCTCAATCTGCTGCCTTTGATGATACTGTGGGTGATTCTGTTAATCCAAACTCCTCGACTTCTAATAATGCTAAAATAGTTTAACTACTTACTTTGAAATCAACAGTGGGCACTAGGAACAAAAAATCTTCGGCTGCTTCAACTGTTGTTGGTGTTAATGCCAATTGTGATCTTGATGTCGTCATATCCATGAAATGGATTCATTTCTCTGCCTTTAAGAACTATTGCTGAGGAAGATATTATATTTTTCGTTGTTAAAAATGATATGCTGATAGGCAACATCTTTTTTATGTTATAAACTTATTAAAAAATATACTTGTACTAATATTAATGATCTATAGTGGGTAAATTTTCAGTTAGGCGTGTCCCCATCTTATATTAATGCCGTATTTTCTTTTTCATTGTGGGCTTCTGGCATCAAGTTGCGCCCTTTTTCCGAAGAGAGGCGCAAACAAAGTTGAGGACTAGCTGATACCCTTATTTTATTGTACAATAATTTTCTATTACTCTGTAAGAACTAATGTTCATAGACTTAAGTAATTAAATAAATAAAAATAAATACCATATTATATATTATTTTAAAATTCAATAACAAAAAGTATAAAAATGAAATTAATATTTTCACATCTTCTTCATACTTACATTAAAAATTTATTTCTATATTGTTTACTTTGAAAATTAAGATTATATTCAAACGTTAACGTCGCTTCCGGCGGTTACAGAAGTCAGACAGTATTTCTCAGTGCGCCTGTTGGTATGCTACGTTCCGTGCGAACTGAATTTTCTTGATACAATGCTGACAGCTGAATTATGTAGTACGAAGTTTCCGGTGATTGCTTAAAGTAAATACAATTGAACGCCTAAATGGATGCAACATATAAATGAATGTTGTTTTAGAATTATAACGTACACACAAATCTTCATATGGATATGTTATAAGTTGGTGTGAATGACTAGGTTAATAAAACTTTTTTTTTAAATAATATTATATTTAAATAGGTATTCTAGTCAAAAGGCATTTGACGTGAGGTCGAAGGCTAGATAACCTCAAAACTATCAAACACATATGAAAAACAAAAAAATGTTCGCTAAATTACGAATGCCCGTGGTAATAAAACATTTTTTCGCCGGTTTTTTTTTGTTTGTTTTTTTGTTTTTAATTTTTGGTTTTTCTGATATTTTTAAAAATCGTATATCGGTTAAGTAGTACTTCAGTAATCATAACAAACGTTTTGAAAAGAGCAGTTTCGAGTAAAACGCGTTTAAAGTTTCGGCTGTCAGCCCAGTGCGGTAAGTAAATTTCTGAAAATATTTAAAATTTTGAAAAATCCTCTTAAGGACTTATTCTGAAAGGTAAAGCTTTGCTAATATAAAATAATCCCATTTCTACACACGGATACTCCCTTAAATTACGAAAATTGGCAAAAATACTTATACCACGTAAATAAGTTGTAAAAAATATTAATTGTGTATAAATTAAATATATGTCATTAAATAAATATATTTTCCATACATTAATTATTTAAACCACGGCAAACGCTTTTTTTTTTACTTTTGTAAACAATCAGAACTCTTTAGCTGTTATCCTTTGTATAATTGTATCGGAAAGAACCCATGGAAAGCCATAAATCAATTTCGTTCTTGCATCTACAGGTAGGTAGGTATATGTACAATACATGCAGATATTATCTACATATATATTTATAGCAACAAAAACGGCGTGCAATGGTTTGACATGTGTCCTTCCACCTATTACCTAATGCCATAAGTACAAACATATGTATGTCTGTATTTTAATAATATTGTGCGAAAAAGACTAGAATATGGGCAGTGAGTAAAAGTCGGAGCGAAACCGATTTAGTGAGTCTCAGAGAGCTAAAAACTAAGTTGCCAACTAATTCAGCATGTGTTTTGGTGCAATTAAAATAAATAATTATATTTTCAAGTGAAAAGATGTGAAAACTAAATTTTAATGTATGTATAATTTTAATAAATATTCTTTAAATATAAGTTTTTTATAAAATATATTTTTATTCCATATGGAACGCTTAAATGCATAAGTTAGAATGCTACTACAATGCTAAAAGACGCTCTGATCTGTCTTTCCTCGGTTATAGCGCAAGTGTTACCCTGCGAATGGGCTATAATAGTGTTTTCCGGTATCCAACAAAAGATCTAGTCCAGCTTTCATACTATTTCGTAATCAAGGACGGTTAAAAAATATCCACGACCTAGGATAATAAGGAACAACTAATAAACACATTATTTAATTTAAAAAAAATATAAATATAATTATAAAAATAAAATACTTAACATTCTACAAAAAATCGATCGAAAGTACAATATGTAGGAATAGCAGCCATCTTTGGCACCAAGCTGAAGGATTAAGACCTCGGATTTGAGTTCTCATACAAAAATACCTAATTGGTTATACGTAGCCTTAGCCCCGTTTTAACCTCCAGAACTCTGAAGGAGCTCGAAATAGTTGGGGAATGTTCAAAAATTTCTATAACAGAAACCAGAAAGAAAAATTTTCCGTTCACAATTAAAGAAGTTTCCATACAAGAACTTGATTTTTATCATTATGTTTGTATGACAGCTATATGAAATAGCGATCCGATATGGAAAATTTCCTTAGATGTTGAAGCGTTGCCGTACACAATAATCCTTGCTAAATTTCGTAAAGATATTTCGTGAAGTGAAAAAGTTTTCCATACAAGAACTAAATTTCCATCGTTCAGTTTGTAACGAGCTATATGATCACATATCGGCGGTTCCGAGCAACATTTTAGAGATTAAAGGTCGTGCGTAAATTTTTAGAGCAACAGCTCAAGAGCTAAGGCACTATTTCGCGTATATACAGACAGACGGTCATGGCTAATTCAACTCAGTTCTTGAAGCTGATCATATATACCGGGAGTCTAAACGTAACGTCCACAAGTAATATTTTTGATCTCCGAATATACCAAAATTTACATTGATATATGAGTTCCAAGAAAGTTTCCCGCACGGAGCGATTTCGTTTCAATACCATTTGTCACTGACAGAGCTTGAAGAGAGACCATATATATTTGGAAGAAATTCAGTTTCATTTAATTTTCAGAATCATGTATTATAAGATGTATTACTTCAAGCTCGTCGAGAAATCACTATATATTATACGCGCATAATCCTACGCTTCAACATGGCAACTCTGCTCGCCTCCTGCTCAGCAGAACAAACCAGCCGATCGCACGCTCCAAAAAGAAGACAGGTAATCAATTCACACACCTTTGTGCCGTTGTTTATTATTGTCTTTTACCGGCAAATAAAGCGAATATCAGCGGTCAACCGATCACGCATTTACGCTCTCTTGCTCTCGCTTGCCTGCGCACTCTCGCGCTCTAAATCGCTTAACAGCAAGCAAGTGCTGAGCGATTTTTTTCCGGCGCGCAATGTCATTCAAACCACTTCGCAGCTGTTGCTTCCATGCGCTCCGGCTGCACAACAACCTGGCCGGCAGCCGACAGCCGAAACCACCAGCCGCCAATCGTCGTCTCCGGCGCTCACATGTGCGCTTATTTGGCTAAAGTGCTTTTTGCTGGTGAATTTGGATTTTTAATATCCAACTAAAGCTTGTTTGTGGCGGACGTGTGTGTGGACGCGAGTGCGCCCAAATATAATAAAAAATAATACATACTTACAACAACAACATAGAAATAAATAAATAAAATATTTAACAATACGGACACGCAATGTCCAAGTGGCAGACAATTGGGCATTTTTCGGTTCACATTTATGATTTGTTATAAATATTTGTAGTGAAAAGTTGCACAAAGGAAAATTAGGAAAAAAATAGAAGATCATTTGAAAATACATAGAAAAAAAACTTTCTAAGTTTATTGAGTGGTGATACAACAAGTGCACGGAAAATTGTGGTAAATGCAAAGAAATTAGAAAAAAAAACAACACAAGTGAGTGAAGAAAAATAGTGTGTAAAATAGTTAGCAGAAATTGTTGTAATTTCGGGAAAATTGTGAAATTGATTAAAACAAAAAATTGTTGAAAAAATACAAAAAAAGTATTTTTAAAGTGTATTTGTTGTACAAAAAAAATTTTATAACTTTTAATTTACGAAAAACAAATTTTTAAATGCATTTTTCACAAAATAAATTTTTGTTTACTTTTAATATATGAAAATATTTTTAAAAAGTACATTTAATAAAAAATACTATACAAATTACTCGAATCGAATCTCAACTGTGTAAATGTCAAAATTTGAGCGATAATCGTGTTTATTGCTAGGAAATATGCAGTTATAACAATTCAACACTTCCTCATGCCCCTCGTTCGTGTGTGCGCCAATAACGGTTCTTGCCTGGAAGACCAACAGAAGGTAACAGGCAAATAATAAAATCGTGAAAAAGTGTGTTTAGTAGCAAAACGCTTCCTCTTTACAAACAAAAAAAAAAAAATACAAAAACAAACACAACTGCATAGCAACAACAATAAAAAATCAAAACAGCAACAACAACAATCATAAACCAAAAGTGGTTAAAAGAGTAGCTAGCCAACGCACGCGTCATCCGCAACAGTGGCCAGCTGTCGGGCAATTATTTGGACAGCATACTAGCACACACATACATACACGCGCATTCACATATGTATGTCTGCACACGTGCAAATGTGCAAACGTAGTTGACGCGAACGTGACACGAATGTGATTAGTGAGTGCTGCCATGAAACATTAGACCAAAATACAACAACAACAATAACTGTTGCTAGCGGACAACCGCAATTTGCATAGCTGCCGCACGCAAACGGAGAAATAATACACACAAACGCACACATAAATACATACATATATCGAAATATATTCAACATGCAAGCATCACCAGCCTCGCCGAGCGCCTCGCCGCCAGATTTCGATTTCAATCTGCCGTGTCGCTACTTCAAAAGCTCCTTCGCGCGCTCGCTCTCCATGTATAACGGAGGTGGCGGCGGCGGCGGCGGTGGCGCTAATGATATGCAGTGCAAGTCGCTGGATTTCGATATCGGGCAGTATCGCAAAATTAGCGCTTTTAATGGCAACAACAACAATGACAGTATTGAATGCAACAGCCTGGAGTGTCCACCTTTGCCGCAGCGCCGACAAGTGGCAACCACAGCGGCCGGCAAGAATGAGGCCAACAACAACTACAGCAACAGCAGCGGCAATGCTTATGTAGAAAGCGACGCCAGCAGCGATGAGACGGCCGAAGAGGATACCAAGCCGCCAGCAATACCGGCGCGCTGTCCCATTGTTGTCGCCAAATCAAAGTCAGCCGGCGCGTTGAATATGCAGCAACAACAACAACAAATGTTGGCACAATTCAGGCATGTGGCGATTGCCGAGAATGCGAACGCAAGCGGGAATGCGGTTGGCAACGTAGCCACAGCCGCCATTCATGGAAATTTTAACAGGCCAATTAATCACAACACATTGCCGCCACAGCAACAACAGCAGCAGCAGCAGCAACCGCATCAACAATTGAATGGCAAGGCAAATAATGCCAACAGCATCAACAACAACAACAACGATGGTGATGTGCTAAGCGGCACAAGAGCTGGCCGAAGCCGCTGCAATCTAAGCAACAGAAGGAATGTTTGGCCTACAGACCGCGTTGACTTGCAGCAACAACAACAGCAAAAGCAACAACATCACTATCCATCCCAGCAACAGCAGCAGCAACAGGTTTGTTGTTCAGCTTTCTTGTATTTTACGTGCCTCCAAACGCACACACATACATACATATCGACAAACTATTCTAGTGCGCCTCCGTAGTCTACGACTGTGGCTTTGCGCCGATTTCCTCGCCTTTACGCGCGTTTAACGCGGGATTTTTCTCTGTGTTTTTAATTCATTTGGCTTTTTTTTAATTTTTCTGCTTTTTCTGCGTACTACTCGTATGTTTGTTGTACGCAAAAGAATTTGCAATAAATTTCCTTTTCTGGTGAAATCATTTCTATTTCAAGTTTCCATGTCGCGCCGTGAAATGCGAAAAGTGGGTTTATATGGTGGAAGATATGTGGCGCGCTTCTTGCAGAGCGTACGAGAACAGCTATGCGCTCCATTTAATCGATAGTGCTCACGGTTGTGCAGAGTCTATGAAATGGTTTGGTCTTATAAGGGTCTATATTGCTGAGTTTGCGACCTGATTTTCCATAATTCGATGACTTCACTACACTTTTTCATTCAGTAAATGTAATGATTTATTCAATAATAAATTTGATTACAGACGTTTGTGGAGTATTACGTCTGTGTTGTCGGTCAACCAGTGCCAAAATTGGTAGACCCCCATTTGTGGCACAGTCGAACTAGTCTACTTTAATGAAAATTTGTCATTGGGTCGTACATAACTAAATATTTTTGTAATCGTCTATAAGCAGCTCATATCGATAACAGGTGCACTAACTGTGGTTTAATTTAGTTTAGAAATTTTTAATACCCTGAACCGGGTACATTAAGTTTGCCATGAAATTTGTAAAACCCAAAACGAAACATCGAGGATCCACAAAAATTTATATGATCAGCTTGGCGCGCTGAGTCTATTATGAGTTATTGCCTAAGGCAATAGTGCAATCTCCAAAAAAATTGTTCCGATCGAGTCATTATAGTACTGACTATTATAGCTATGGTGCAACCGAAGTTAAAGATTTTAGTTGTTTATTCTTTTTAAGTATTTCAAAAAATTTCATTCAAAATATGAACCTTAGAGATCTGAAATTGTAGATGGTATATTAATTTTAATTCACGTCAAGAGTTAGGCTAGTCAATATTCCTTAAATAAGGCATTATCTTGACAATTTATTCTGGGAGAAAGGAAAAATGAGTACAGTTTTTTTATTTTAGGCTATTTTAAACATATAACTAACTAATTGTAATAAAAATATATGTTAAAATTTTGTAACAAAATATGGCGGCTATGAAGCTCAATCTTCAGACTAACATTTTTCGAGAAAGCTTCTAAGAGCGATGGTGATTTTATGCTAATTAGAACAAAGTAAAAGCCAACATCTTAATCTAAATAAGACTTGCTAGTAAAATAAAGGGTATTTTTTTAGACAAGTGATTTTCAAAAAGAAATAAACAGCATATAACGCAAAGAATTAGGCTTTATTATAAAGATAAGGGCTTACTATTTTTTGTTTTACAAATAATTTCGGGCAAGTGACCGTCGCTGGCTGGCTCAACTAAATTCCACCTGCGAGGCTCAATTTTCGACCATTTTATGCAGCAATCGACTCGGGCTTATCTGTCTAGACAAGCGACTGCTTATAACCGCACAAAAAATAGTCCAGCGGTGTTAAGTCTCATGAAACACGCAAAGGGCCCACAACGGGAGATAACGCGCTCACCAAAAGTTTCTTGCATTAATTTATTGATGTATTGGCTATATGGTATGTATCGCCTCAAGAGTTAGGTCCGTCTTGTTGAAACCAAAGGTCATCCACATCAACATTCTCCACTCCCAAGGCACGACAAATTTATTAATCATTGCTCTATTCATTATAGTACACCAACCAGTGACTTTTTGAGGATGTAACAGCGTCTCGACAATGCCTTCTGAATTACCATCACTCAAAATGCGGCAATTCTGTTAATTAACGTACCCACTAAACGAAAAGTAAGCATCATCGCGATACGTCGCGCGAGCCGTACTATTATTTTGGTATTAGATTTGAAATGGGAAACCAAACTGAGTACAAATCCTGTCAAAAAGACTAACTCCGAAAAAAGTATTGCTACATTGAAAACCACACGTTTTTAGTCTTTCCTCAATTTTTCGTAAAATAAGGATTTTGCAAAAAAATATCAAATTTTTACAAAAATTTAGCAGTAAATTAAAAAAAAACATGTGATAACAAAAAAACCTTACTTTGTTTACCAATTAATGTGTATTTAAATTTTAAACAGAGCCAAACCTTTTATTTTATTCTGTAGTATTTACTAGCATGCAGATTTTTTAGAAAAATTTTTGTTTTTTCTTTTACTTTTTCCGATATTTCGACTTGACTATGTCTTTGTGCATGGAAATCCACTTAATATGTAAGGCTCCGTTTATAGCTCAAAATCTCAGCCGTCATGAGTTAAGCTGCCACACAAATCTATCAATTATCGGCATTATTCTAAATAAAATTTCATACCTGAATAGAAATTTATTTTGAACTTATAGACTTATTTTATCAACTTCAAATTCAGTTTGTCAAATTTACTGACTATAATTTGACAATAGTACGATCTATTCATGTAATAGTTATTTGTTATAGAATCTAGTTTCAAAACGCGACAACTTATGATGTTTGTGTATGATTATACAATAATTATTTATTAATTTTTCTAATTGGACTTCTTTTCATACATACATATGTAATATTTATGACAATCCGATTTATACAAGATATACATCACGTTAGCAAGCCTTTCTAAAATGTTTTTAAGTATGCTCAATGTTTTCATTAATTTGTGCGTTTTGGGTTTTTATTTCTGAAATATTACTATATGTAAAATAATACTTACTACAGCGCACTTTTCTGGTTGGTACTTTTTTAGTAAATGTTCTTTTTCTTTAATATTTGATTTTCAATATATATTTTATAATATCGCATTCTTCAAAGTGTATAATATACTGAACCGTTTAGCCTGATTTAAATGCTCACGTTTTCTTTTAAGTTTTTACCCAATAACTTTTTCCTGTCACTACACTAATCCACTGATTAATCGCTAGCCACCATGACATTATGTGGCATACCAAATCGGCATTAAATGCACTTTTTCTAATAAATCAAATGCAAGTAAATACCGTAAGTCGTTAGTACTACTCTTTAGTAACAAATTAGGCTAGAGGCTAACTTCGAAACGTCAAAGTCGGTGAAAAGTGATAAATCAATTCAGGCTGTTGGTCAGCTTTTGTTTTTGTTTACACGCATCAACATCCATTTTTTGATAAATATCAGTAGCTTAAGCCATAATAAGGGGTGCCGCAATTTATAGTATGTCAGTGGTGGAAAAGTGTGGCCGGATGCTGACATACCATAAGACACCGCGGCGGCATTGATTGGAGTCCACATTTTTGGTGTTGCAACTAATTAGATATGATTGATTTGCTTTGACATTTTAAGTGGAAATCAGCGTACTGCTGCAAATAGGTGCTCTCACAAGTGTATTTGGGTGTTGAACATGTGTAAGGCGCTGCTGGCGAGATGCGCCAAATCAAATTAGCAAAAGCTGTTGAGAAATTACGCTATTTATTCACATTTTTTAGATTTCTCTTTAGTATACGTGTGAAAAGGCTCCTTGCGACAAGTTGCAGATATTTTAAAAATGGAAAATAGAAATAATAACAACTTTATTTAGAAAATTATATATACAATAATAGACATTTTCATTACGATCAGGCATCATAATCTATTTCGCAATGGGTTTTCTATAGAAATCTGTAAAGAAATAAACTAAAAAGGGAATTTTTCACCAGCAAAATCATTCGCCATAGACAGAAGCAGATAGTAAATACTTGGTCCTAGGTTCGAACCATATGGTGGATACATAAGAACCTCCCAAACAAGCTATCGGAGTTTCTGACAAGTCACTATCGATGAGTGTGTCCTGGCGTTGTCCTAGTGAAACACAATGTCTTCCCTAAACGGCCAATAATTGACTGCTTCTTAGCGAATGCTTACTGCAGACGATTATAGCATTAATTCTCTGGCATACCACACATAGCAAAATCTTTCCATCTATTTATTCTGACTCAGCGCTATTCGACCACGACCGTTTAGCTTAACGTTAACGTCAGCGTCCCACTTTTTATCGCTTCAAAAACGGAAAGATTTGGTTGCAATGCAGCAGTAATTCGCAGATGAAAAAGGCCTCCATGAGGTTTTTTGCATTAACTCTTGTGGTATTTATACTTCGAGCTCCATTTTTTATTCAGTCTTATTCAAATGGATCCAAATAGATTTTTTTGTACTGGACAGTATAAAATGGGAAGTTCGTCAAGTATTATGTAAAATGTTCCATAAAAATTAAGTAAAGATTCTGTTAGCGATTTGCTGAAAATTAATTTTCTTGTATATCGCCCCGTGCCGACTTCTATTTATTTATTGCAATTATGTTCTTGAAGTTTTTATAATATTATTATAATTATTGTAAATAATACCACTTGATTCTAATGCCACCAAAATCTAATAAAAACAGTAAATGATCTATACAAGAGGTATAAGCTAAGATCTCATAGAGTCTAAATGAGTAAAAAATAAACAATATGAGGCCAATAATATAATATAAACCAGAACTAATCATTTTGAATATAAAGGAGTAGCTATTATTATTATACTCTGAACAGGCTATATTAAGTTTGCCACGCTGTTTGTCACACCCAAAAGGAAACGTCAGAGACCCAATAAAGTATACATAAATATGTAAATGATGAGCGTGACGAGCGGAGTCAATTAAGCGATGTTCGTCTGTCCGTCTAGTCCCTCAGTTTTTCTGATATCGATATGTGGAAAACTTTTTTCATTTGAAAAGATATCTTCAAAAAATTTGTCATGGATTATTGCCGAAGGCAATGGATGGAAAGCCTGGTTTTTTATCAGGATTCACTTGTCACGAACTGATATTAATTATTATTGGAAATGCAATAAAGGAATTATGTACTTGTTTTTATTTCAAAAAGGTCTAAATAACTTTTC